AGTCTTATTTTATTTACAAAGTAACAAATAGAATAATAGGGTATTTGAATTTATTCAAAGAATTGCTTTTATTTTTATACCTCTGCTATGAAGGAGGGGGGGGGGGGGGTATACTGTTTTACCCTTGTCTGTCTGTCTAGCTGTCCGTAACAAATTTTCATTCCAGTTTTTTCAGTAAGTACTCATCAAAGATTCTTGAAATCTTAATACAATCTTCTCTTAGGCATTCCAAATAGGATTTAATTTTTTTTAATCTGATGTCAACTTCCTGTTTGTCTGTCCGTTTCATACAGTACCCGCATCGTTATTCTTTACAAATCTATCATGTCCTATCGTGCGTGTATCCTATCGTATCGTGCGTGTATCCTATCGTATCCTATCGTATCGTGTTTTCCGTTTATCGTGTTTTCCGTTTTCTATCGTGTTTTGCGTTTATCGTGTTTTGCGTTTATCGTGTAATTCGTTTATCAGGTTCTATCGTGTATCGTGTTTTGCGTTTATCGTGTACATTCGGAAACCCTCGCTTTTTATCTTTATTACATGAAGAAACTACCGAGGTATTCCGAGTTTCTTTTTCGTTTTGTTAACTAAAATAAGATTATTTTAACCAAAAAAGAGAACAGAACGTTTTATTCCTTAGTTTTTCACCATTAAAAGAAATATTAAAGCATGGAAGGAAAAGAATAAATAGATATTAATAATGTTATTAATATATTGAGTAATTAATAATAAATTTATTAAAGAAAATAATCATATCATATTCAAGCAGAGAATCAAAATTAACTTTTGAAAATGAAATAATCAATTCCCTGTTTTTTTTTTTAATTCATCGAATTGTATGATTTTTTGGTCAAAATTAAATATTAATAAAATTTTCTTGAATTAGTCAGAGCCACTAGAGGATGATTTTCGGTAAGTCATGGTGTATTATAACATGTACCCCCTCCCTCCCCCGAAAAATTAAAGTAATAATTAGCAAGGGATCGATATGTATCTTTTTTAAATGCAATATTCATTTTCTCCTAAACAATTTTCTGGTACTATTAAGAATGTGTTTTCGCCTCTGATCTGCCTGTATGCACAATTATTTAAAATCTTGATTTAAAAAAAATAATAACGAAGCATTTAAGACATTGATCCTGATAACTTTAAAACTGATTTTGTCCGTATAGACTCAATTTATTTTAATTTATTTTTATCACTTATTAGTTAAATTCCTTGATATGTCTAAATTTAAAAAAAAATAAAATCAAAATTGTAAAATGTAATGCATGAAAACGCTCTACCCGATTTATCACACCATGGCAGTTACAATAAAATAGAAGTTTTTCATTAATTTTATATGGCATTAGATAATCTGAAAATAATAAACAGGAAAAAACATGATGACTTTTAACAGCTTACCTTTTCGGCTTGGAAATAAACTGAAAATATAATGCACCTGAGTGTCAAATTGAAGAGCTTTCATTGCCATAAAACTGACACGTATTTGTACCTCTCTAATCAGCAGACTGCCTCCCTGTGCGGTTAACACCCCTCCCCCTTCTCCCCTATCCCCCTAAATGACAGCTCGGCCCATGTGTGTTCATCGTCACCATACCAGGCCCCAGGATCATGAAACAAACTTAGACTTAAGTCAAATTTTCAATCGACTGTAAAATGTTTATTAATTATTTAATTAATTTCAAAATTTTAAAAATAACAACACTTTGGTGAATCAATATTGAAACACATTTTGATTTTGATCTGCTTGACCTTTACAACATTTAATTATAATACAAAGATTTTGACTTAAGCTTAATATATTTCATGATCCTGGAACCTGAACTGCTCTCTCATCTTGTGTCAAACAGTATCTATTTTCGGGATTCTGTTCATACCTTGTGTGAACTACATGCACACTCATAAAAGATATTTTTCTAAATCAATTAAACATAAATTGTGCAATTTATGGATTAAAAAAATCATTTCCTTGCTTGAATTTAAATAAAAATATCTTATAAATCAATTTAATTAAACAAAGTCCCTTTACTCAGTCCGCTGATTTATATTATTTGTGCGATGTTTCCATAAAGTTTATGTAAAAAAGTCTTTTCATGAACTTTAAAAAAAAAAAAATACTGCACATATGGTACATGAACTTTAAGATCATCGTGTTTTCTTTCGGATCACCGGGTTTTCATCGGGTTACAGACAGAATTAATTCTAGGAAACAATTTCGTGGATCGTAGAAAAGATAGAAATAATTCTAACATACCAAACTTAGAAAATTTGCTCGCCTTATTTTTTTTCTACGGTATTTTACTATAATAATAAAAAGGAAGTCTGATTCCGCCGTGACCATGCAAAACAAGTAAATGTATTGCACCCAATCAATTTATAGTATTAATCGATTTAATTCCATACGTATATAACATTATCTAAGAAGTCAATATTATTTTTGGCTATTTGGTTAGATCATGATTATCTAATTTTAAATTGGTTTACGGACTTTCAACATACCGCCCTTCGAATATGCCGTGTATGAGATTACCGGGTAAGTCTAAAATAATTTTCAGGGTTTAATAATTCATTTGCAATAAAAACAGTACACACAAAGTTTAATAGCAATGATTTATAATTACTTAGTCGGAAAAGTAGCATTTCACCCTTTTAATATTTGTGTATGAATTTTTGATTTTTGTATTATAAAGAAAAAAAAGTATTTTATCATTCAATGTTCGTTAATTAATAAGAGGTTTTAAGTATCTGATATATGAATGTTTACATGTACATAAATGAGAACCTAGCGTAAACGTACATGTACATGTGCAGTTGTAGCAGATTCATATTCTGTTGACACAGTTTACATGTATTTTAATGCACAGCGGCATTATATTAACAATTATTTAGATTTCTACTCAGGAAATTAAGTTTCTTGAACTATATAGTTCTTTAAAGCCGATTTCTTTGGACCTTTCTTTCGGCTACTCTACATGTATTTTTTCCCTGAGAATTTAATATTTAATTTGCGATTTTTGGATACACCGCAGATTGTAAGCTTTATACATTAAATAATTTTTTTCCGTGAAATAATTTAGTACTTGTAGATAAATTTTTTAGGTACAAATGTATATTTTTTTCATAAATAATAATCTATTTATAGAGTTTCATGAATTAATAATAATACCCGTGAGAAACGGCACAAAATTATGTAAGGGATTTTTGTGAAACAGTTACATGTTTGTTAAAATATCCATAATTAAAGGAGTCATAGTTCAACCTTAATATGAGAATTTCAACATTTACACAAATAATCGGAAATCCACACCCTTGAGTAAAAAAAAAAAAAAAAAATAGTATCCATTTCGTAATAATCCATTTAATCATTGACAAAAATTTATATAAATAAACAACTTTTGTAAAAATTACCAGTGATCTCAATCTTTTTTTATTACAATAATTAAATGTACGTTATAATTTAGATTTAAAGCTTTGCAAGTATTTTAATTAAAATATTGCATTAAGTAATCAAATAATTCTTTTCGTCTTGTCAGAAAACGTTCCGCATTTTGAAACAATCCTATCAGGTTTTGCGTTTATCCTATCGTGAAGATCGTTTATCAGGTCTATCGTGTTTTGCGTGTATCGTATTTTGCGTGTATCGTGTTTTGCGTTTATCGTGTTTTGCGTTTATCCTATCGTGCGTGTATCCTGTCCTATCGTGCGTGTATCCTATCGTATCGTGCGTGTATCCTATCGTATCGTGTATCCTGTAAAGAATAACGATGCGGGTACTGTACATGTTTCATGCATAACAAATTTTCTTGGCAGTTTTCTCAGCAATTACTCATTGCAGATGCTTGAAATTCTAAATAATATTCTCCGAGGTATGCCATATGATTGGATTTATTCTTAATTTAAATCTGATGACATCTGATGATATGTTCCTGTTTGTCCGTGTGTCTGTCTATTTCATACATGTTTCATACATACCAAATATTTTTATTTGAATCTGATGTCAAATTCCTATTTTTCCATGCATATACATGTACATGTAATGTTTATTAATATGTTATTGTATATTCACATCAGAGCAGGGGTATTACTAGTGAGCATAGGCTCACAGATTTTTAGTTCACTTAAGTGTTTCATAATTATGCATGCTTGTGCAACTCTACAAAATTAATTTAATTATTACACTAAATAATGCATATTTAAATATTCTTGTTTTTAAGGATTGCCCTACCCTCTCATATGATCTAAGAAAACATCCAAAAAAGGTACCGTTATTTTTAAAGTTTCAGTTTTTATAAATCATGAATTTTTGTTAAAGTAAAATCATATGCACATAATAACAATTATGTTATAATCAGATGCACAGCATATATTCTGATTTGTTGCAAGTTTAATGTGTGCGTTATTAATTGTGAAACCCATTTTATATCAACTACCTTATTAATAGGTAATTTGTTTTGCAGAAGAAAGTGACCTTATGTTTTCTTTTTATGCTGATATTCATGAGGAAAACATGTCGTTTGAATATATGAATATTTATTAAACTTTATTTCAGAAGAAAAAAAGAACTTCTTTTTTATATCCTGATGTTAGGGGAAGGTAGAGATTCCCTTTAAAAGAGCATGATGTTGCATTTTTTCCTGCATAGTTTTCTATTGTTATTCATATATGATTATGAATCTCATAGTTCTAAAGGACATTTTTTAACCATCAATACAGAAGATGAAACTTTTAAGGAGTAATGTCTTATTAGTGTGTTTTTGTACTGTCAATAATTAATGAGAGAGAAGCAATTTGTTTATGAGATACATAAATACCTGATTAGTTTGCTGAAATTTGCATGACTGTTCAGAATCATAAGAAAATCTGGGAAAAAAGTATGCACATGTACCTTGAACAATTCATTTTGCTCTCTGAGTGATATTCTTCTTCAGTTTTCCCAATTTGTATCATTTCAGTGATGTCACATGACTTTGAAATAAAATTGTTTCACAAGTTAAAAAGAAAGTCATGCAATCAAAAAATAATTAGTTTACATATCGTAAAACCTTTCTCAGATTTTTTTTATCATATACTTTTAGTAGATTAGCTGTTTACATATATTACAAGTTAACGATATGATGATTTATACATTTAACTTAGAAATTATAAAATGCATGAACAAACAGAAGGCCTATGGGTCACAAGACTCACCTGGGTCACAAAATTCAACCTACATTAAGAAGACATTTCAAAAAACTATGATGGTCCCATCCTACCACTGGTGGAAATTGTTTGAAAAAAAAACAAAAATTTACACTATGTAATAAAGCTTTCATAATGCAAATTTTATCTTTTCCAACTCAGTGCATGGTTTTTTAATGAAGATTTTTTGAAAGATGTCCATTTTACTTAATATTTATTATCCCCCCTTAAAAAGGAGATGGTACATGGTTTTTAATTTGAAAAAAGAAAATGAACTTCATGCATCCTTGAATGCTCTATATCAAATTTAGCTTAGATTAGTTCAGTTGTATACCTGTAAAAATTTTTTTTTAAAAAGACAGACAATGGACAAATTTTGATTGATAAATCTCCCTAGTGCCTTTTGGGTTAGATAACAAAAACTCAAGTAAAGAATTTGTTAACAGGAACATTATGAACCTGCCAAATTTTTTTCATGCAACAGTACTTAGCCTTGTAATATTTAGGACACCCTTTAAGCAAGTTTTCTAAAACTTGTATTGATTTATGCATTACATAGAACTGTTGCTATTTAAGTTACATTAAATGATTTATTTGTTTTACTTGTACATTTGTAGTTGTAATTAAAGTATCTTTATATATCTTATCAACTTAGTATGATAATTATTTTATAACAATATGATCAACAAGTATGATTGATATTAAAACCAATCAATTCATCAACATTCATTTCTACTGTAAATCCTTTTCACAATGAATTTTTTAAAAATGGTTTTTAATTTCTCTTCCTTTTAGGTATCTACCTGTCAAAGAAGAGACTTTAAGTACGGATGATTGCAAGTAAGTTCAATCTTTTTTTTTGATATTAATTTTAAAGAACAACAATAAATCTTATCATGATTATAATTATTTAACTCTATCTATGGGTTTTGGAAAATTGTGAATTTTTGCTACTTAGAATTAATAATCTAAACTTATCTCATTTACACTAAAATAGGCTTACTTGTGAAACTGAGAACAAGACACAGAGTGAAAATATGTGAGTGCATGTAGCTGAGATGTATACTTTTCATTAATGCTAAGCTTTGGCAAAACAAATAGTACATGGTTTGTAGAAAAATGAAAAGAACATTTGCTTAAAAATTATTTGCAATATATTGATAATAAAGACTATTTATTACATGGTAAAATATTTTTATGTACAAAGTGATGTTATAAATATGCAGGGGAAAAGAGGACACTGGAAATGATGAAGAGGAGGTACAAGATGCAGCTGATGTTGTGACACAATCTTCTGGTGGGTAGTTCATATGTACTTTACTGTGTTCAGGTAAATATATTGCTATGTATTTTGCTGAAATTTTAATAAAAAGCTCTGTTTTTTCAGTATTTGATACAGATTATGTTAACACTCATGTGAGTATAAGAAAGTTAAATACATTATTCATGTTTATCAAATTAATTGATTAGTTTTGTACAATACATATTATTAAGTAAACATTCTTTTTACAGCTGAACAGTGTAATAGGTGCTCTAACAAAGATAATGAACTGCAAAATTGGTGAATGGTAATTTGTTCTGTTAATATTCCTGTACAAATATGATATTTAAAAAAATGATGAAATTGTATACATTTGTATATCATAAGTAATAGATAAAGTCTCAGGTAGACACACAACTTTCATTTTATTTACATTTTCCAGTGATGAAGCTGATCATGCCCGCCATCATATGTTTGTAAAGAGCCCTGCAGATATGTATGACAAATACATTAAACAGTATTTCTTTGGAAGAAAATTTTTAAGTTCTCAGGTAAGAATTAGAAGAATTATATTTGAAATAGTACATGACATGTAGGTATGTTCATTTTAAATGTTGTATCAAAAATTGCACTGAAAAAATTATTGAATCTTTTCATTGGAACTTAAGATAATTTATGTGCAGTTCCAAAGATATTTTCTGTTTACATTTCAATGGACAATATGCTGACTTACTTTAATAGGAACAAGAACATCTACAAACAGTTCTCCAAGACGAAATGTTCTGCAGCAAACCTTTGCCTGGGTAAGAGTTTGCAGATAATTATTTGATTTTGAAGTCATGAATGCATTAGAAATTTAGAACTGTACTCTATTTGTAATTCTTTGTCATTTATTGTCCTAATTCCTCTTTTTGGTTACTTTTTTACCAGGTCTATATAAAATTTTAAATAATTTTCCAGATCCATTTTCAATCGATATAGAACCTTCCAAACTCTTGAAAATGAAGAATTGGAAAGTATCTTTATAGATAGTCCACTGTATGTATACTCAATAATTTTTAAATTTTTTTTTTACCAGATCTATTACATGTTTAAAAAGCAGCATAACAATTTATGAATGTACTCCCTTTACCCATTAGAATATATATAAGCATGCATTATTTTCAAAAGATTTTTCTTTTTTCAGAATGGCAGTTCACTATTTCTCATTCATTCTGCTCAAAGAAGCAATGGTTTATCTGATCTGTAACAAAACAGGACTGCCTTATGAAGAGGCTGATGCAAGATGCTCATCAACAGAGTGTTTAGTGAAAGATGTCCATCTATAAGTGACTGTTCAGTCCAAAAACTTATTATGCCATACAAACTTATAATGCCATACAACAAACCAGTTTTTGGTTCTTTTGTAACTTCATATGTGATAAATGTTGCAGTATGATGTGTAGTGACTGGATTGTGTTGTGAAGTGACTCGATTATGTAGTCAAATGAATGGATTATGTTGTGTTGTGATTGGGTTATGTAGTGCGGTGACTGGGTTATGTTATGTAGTGACTGGGATATGTTGTGTAGTGACTGGGTTATGTTGTGTAGTGACTGGGTTATGTTGTGTAGTGACTGGGATATGTTGTGCAGTGACTGGGTTATGTTGTGTAGTGATTCGGATATGTTGTGTAGTGACTGGGATATGTTGTGTAGTGACTGGATTATGTATTGTAGTGACTGGGTTATGTTGTGTAGTGACTGGGATATGTAGTGTAGTGACTGGGATATGTTGTGTAGTGACTGGGTTATGTTGTTTAGTGACTGGGATATGTTGTGTAGTGACTGGGATATGTTGTGTAGTGACTGGATTATGTATTGTAGTGACTGGGATATGTTGTATTGTAGTGACTGGGATATGTAGTGTAGTGACTGGGATATGTTGTGTAGTGATTGGGATATGTTGTGCAGTGACTGGGTTATGTTGTGTAGTGATTCGGATATGTTGTGTAGTGACTGGGATATGTTGTGTAGTGACTGGAATATGTTGTGTAGTGACTGGGATATGTAGTGTAGTGACTGGGATATGTTGTGTAGTGACTGGGTTATGTGGTGTAGTGACTGTTTTATGTTGTGCAGTGACTGGGATATGTTGTGTAGTGACTGGATTATGTATTGTAGGGATATGTAATGTAATGACTGGGATATGTTGTGTAGTGACTGGGATATGTTGTGCAGTGACTGGGTTATGTTGTGTAGTGATTCGGATATGCTGTGTAGTGACTGGGATATGTTGTTTAGTGACTGGGATATGTAGTGCAGTGACTGGGATATGTTGTGTAGTGACTGGGATATGTAGTGTAGTGACTGGGATATGTTGTGTAGTGACTGGGTTATGTGGTGTAGTGACTGTTTTATGTTGTGCAGTGACTGGGATATGTTGTGTAGTGACTGGATTATGTATTGTAGGGATATGTAATGTAATGACTGGGATATGTTGTGTAGTGGCTGGGATATGTTGTGCAATGACTGGGTTATGTTGTGTAGTGATTCGGATATGTTGTGTAGTGACTTGGATATGTTGTGTAGTGACTGTTTTATGTTGTGCATTGACTGGGTTATGTTGTGTAGTTACTGGGATATGTATTGCAGTGACTGGGATATGTTGTGTAGTGACTGGGATATGTAGTGTAGTGACTGGGATATGTTGTGTAGTGACTGGGTTATGTTGTGTAGTGACTGGGTTATGTAGTGTAGTGACTGGGATATGTAGTGTAGTGACTGGGATATTTTGTGCAGTGACTGGATTATGTAGTGTAGTGACTGGGATATGTATTGTAGTGACTTAGTAATGTTGTGTAGTGACTGGGATATGTTGTGCAGTGACTGGGTTATGTAGTGTAGTGACTGTTTTATGTTGTGCAGTGACTGGGATATATTGTGTAGTGACTAGGTTTTGTTGTGTAGTGACTGGGATATGTTGTGCAGTGACTGGGTTATGTAGTGTAGTGACTGTTTTATGTTGTGCAGTGACTGGGATATGTTGTGTAGTGACTGGGATATGTTGTGTAGTGACTGGATTATGTATTGTAGGGATATGTAATGTAATGACTGGGATATGTTGTGTAGTGGCTGGGATATGTTGTGCAGTGACTGGGTTATGTTGTGTAGTGATTCAGATATGTTGTGTAGTGACTGGGATATGTTGTGTAGTGACTGGGATATGTAGTGCAGTGACTGGGATATATTGTGTAGTGACTGGGATATGTAGTGTAGTGACTGGGTTATGTTGTGTAGTGACTGGGTTATGTTGTTTAGTGACTGGGATATGTTGTGTAGTGACTGGGATATGTTGTGTAGTGACTGGATTATGTATTGTAGTGACTGGGATATGTTGTATTGTAGTGACTGGGATATGTAGTGTAGTGACTGGGATATGTTGTGTAGTGACTGGGATATGTTGTGCAGTGACTTGGTTATGTTGTGTAGTGATTCGGATATGCTATGTAGTGACTGGGATATGTTGTGTAGTGACTGGGATATGTAGTGCAGTGACTGGGATATGTTGTGTAGTGACTGGGATATGTAGTGTAGTGACTGGGATATGTTGTGTAGTGACTGGGTTATGTGGTGTAATGACTGTTTTATGTTGTGCAGTGACTGGGATATGTTGTGTAGTGACTGGATTATGTATTGTAGGGATATGTAATGTAATGACTGGGTTATGTTGTGTAGTGGCTGGAATATGTTGTGCAGTGACTGGGTTATGTTGTGTAGTGATTCGGATATGTTGTGTAGTGACTGGGATATGTTGTGTAGTGACTGTTTTATGTTGTGCATTGACTGGGTTATGTTGTGTAGTTACTGGGATATGTATTGCAGTGACTGGGATATGTTGTGTAGTGACTGGGATATGTAGTGTAGTGACTGGGATATGTTGTGTAGTGACTGGGTTATGTTGTGTAGTGACTGGGTTATGTTGTGTAGTGACTGGGATATGTAGTGTAGTGACTGGGATATTTTGTGTAGTGACTGGATTATGTAGTGTAGTGACTGGGATATGTATTGTAGTGACTTAGTAATGTTGTGTAGTGACTGGGATATGTTGTGCAGTGACTGGGTTATGTAGTGTAGTGACTGTTTTATGTTGTGCAGTGACTGGGATATGTTGTGTAGTGACTACGTTTTGTTGTGTAGTGACTGGGATATGTTGTGCAGTGACTGGGTTATGTAGTGTAGTGACTGTTTTATGTTGTGCAGTGACTGGGATATGTTGTGTAGTGACTGGGATTTGTTGTGTAGTGACTGGGTTATGTTGCGCAGTGACTGGGATATGTAGTGTAGTGACTGAGATATGTAGTGTAGTGACTGAGATATGTAGTGTAGTGGATGGGTTATGTTGTGTAGTGACTGGGATATGTATTGTAGTGACTGGGTTATGTTGTGTAGTGACTGGAATAGGTAGTGTAGTGACTAGGTAATGTTGTGTAGTGACTGGGATATGTTGTGCAGTGACTGGGTTATGTAGTGTAGTGACTTTTTTATGTTGTGCAGTGACTGGGATATGTTGTGTAGTGACTAGGTTATGTTGTGAAGTGACTGGGATATGTTGTGCAGTGACTGGGTTTTGTAGTGTAGTGACTGGGATATGTTGTGCAGTGACTGGGATATGTTGTTTAGTGACTGGGTTATAATTTGTAGTGACTGTTTTATGTTGTGCAGTGACTGGGATATGTTGTGTAGTGACTGGGTTATGTTGCGCAGTGACTGAATTATGTAGTGTTGTGACTGAGATATGTAGTGTAGTGACTGGGTTATGTTGTGTAGTAACTAGGTAATATTGTGTAGTGACTGGGATATTTTGTGCAGTGACTGGGATATGTAGTGTAGTGGCTGTTTTATGTTGTGTAGTGACTGGATTATGTAGTGTAGTGACTAGGTTATGTTGTGTAGTGACTGGATTATGTATTGTAGTGACTGGGATATGTAGTGTAGTGACTGGGATATGTAGTGTAGTAACTGGGATATGTTGTGTAGTGACTGGGATATGTAGTGTTGTGACTGGGTTATGTTGTGCAGTGAATTGGATATGTAGTGTAGTGACTGGGCTATGTTGCGCAGTGACTGGGATATGTAGAGTAGTGGCTGGGATATGTTGTGTAGTGACTGGGATATGTTGTGTAGTGACTGGATTATGTATTGTAGTGACTGGGATATGTGGTGTAGTGACTGGGATATGTTGTGTAGTGACTGGGTTATGTTGTGTAGTGACTGGGTTATGTTGTGTAGTGACTGGGTTATGTTGCACAGTGATTGGGATGTGTTGTGTAGTGACAGGGTTATGTTGTGTAGTGACTGGGATTTGTTGTGTATTGATTGGGTTATGTTGTGTAGTGACTGGGTTATGTTGTGTAGTGACATCTTTTTGTAGTGAAGAGACTACCGGGTAGTTTATGTAGTGCAGTGACTGAGTTATGTAGTGTTGTGACTGGTTCATTTTAGCTAATGACTGGATTTAGTTTCTGTATTTATTGGGTTTCATTATAAAATGAATTGTCAATTTTATGCAGTAATATAATATGTAGTGACCTAATTATTATACTTAATGAATGGTTATCAAGTGATGGGTTATGTTATGAAGTGATGTGTGTTATGTTCCAGGGTAACCCTGTTATAATTTTGTAATATTATGACTGCATTATATTGTATCATGCCTTGAATATTTTGCATCATAATTAAGTTATGGAAGTTACATGTATGTTGTAGTGACTTGGTTATGCTTTTATTATCAAGTTATGTTTATACATAAATTGATACTTTTGTACTGTGTTATTCAGTACTGTTATTGATTTATAGTTTACTGTGTTCTTATTTTTTCCATTGCAACAAAGTGACCATGTGACATTATAATTAAGATTGGCAGATATTGATTTCAGTAGGTTAATAATTTTAAAAATGGAATATAAATCATCCATTAATTTATTGTTTTATGTTCATAATGATTTGTTTTGTGTTTTTCTTATTTTCTTTCTTTATCATCTGGTTTTGCTTTTCCCTTCGTTTTGTTTTAATTGATCCAATTTAGAAGATTGTGGAAATGTCAAAATATGTGTCAAATATAAGGGCAAGTCAGTATAGAATGATTCTGAAAATGAATGCATGCATACATTATCAGTATATTAGGTCTATTTTGCATAAGCACAATTACTTGTAGTAATGTACTGTAACATTTCTTTCCTGATTACATTCAAGTTTGAGTTTGAATGCATGAGTGTCTTGAATACCTATAAGATTAGTATATGTTTACTCGCTAGACAGATCAACTATGCATTTTATAAGGCATTGTTTCAAGGTACCCATTGCATTCAAATCAGGCTTTTAGTCGCTATACTTATGCAATATTAATTTGAATGATTATTTTTAAAATTTATGGTCTCATATCTGTAACGATGTGGTCAAACAAATTGAGTGAGATGCCTTAATAATAATCTCATTAAGATTTGTAGAGAATAAACATTTTGGATTGTTATACCTTTAAGAATTTGTTCCTATACAAATCTATACAAAAAAAGTCTAATGTTTTGCTGAGCGGGCATAAAAAAAATCGATGTTGGACCACAGAGTTCTCGAGCAAAATGCGTTTTGTTGGACCCTCGAACCAAACTGTCTGCCTTCGGCCTAAACGCCTCAGGCAGGCAGTTTGGTTCGAGGGTCCGACAAAACGCATGTTGCCCTCGAACTCAGTCAATAAATGTATATTGACATCTCCAGACCAAATTTTTTAGTCTCTACAAATCTTGCTGAGATTATGTTAGTCTTATTGAAAATTTGTTTGAAAAGTTATTGCTTTATCTGACGATGTGATTTATATTTCCATAATTACATTCCTGTATTGTTTTTTAAACTGTGTGTAGGATGGGAAGGTTAACGGTTAAGCAATGAATAAATAATATATAATAATTGTGGTTTTACTAATTTGTGGAAAGGAATCAATTGCACTGATCAACACATCAAACAAAAACTAGAAAGTCTGCTATTGCAAGCAATTAATAGCGTATGTTGTCCCGAACTGGACAAGACTTTCCTTTTTTCATCCATTAGCTCGATCAGCTTGGACAACCATCAACTCGTATCAGTCCTTTCAGTACTTTGATTTGAAAATCAAAATATTAACTTTTGTAATAATTTCAGATGTGAT